TAACATACAAATATAATTTTTATGCTTGCTATATGTGAAATTGCTCTTTATTTTATGTTTTAAACCTTTTTTCTTAATGAGTGTGTATTGGCTCAATAATTTAATTATTTTAAAATGTAGTTTTGTTAAAAGTCAAGAAACGAATTGGTTTTGGAATTAAGTTATAAATTCTACAATTTTGCTGTACAGTACATTAGTTTAGCAATTTATTTTTATATAATTACATTTTAAAATAAAAATAAATGAATGGAAAATAGATTTAAATTAGGTAATTAGAAGGGTTATGATGCATTAAATATTGTTAATGCGTTAACATATTTTAATCAATCTTAATTTTATTTAACCCGTCTATTTAACCCTCCTAAATTAGGAGGTACATTGCAGGTCTTCCAAAAATGAAAGAAGGACCCATGTGCAGGAGATCTAAGAAGTCTACCAATTTTTCATATATTTCACTTCTCAAAATGTTATATATATAGTTTAGTTGATTGATTATATGAACTTTTATCGGATGACGATTTGATTTTTCACTTTATAATTTTCTTTTCTACTTTTCATTTTCCGGTCAGCTCTATTTTATTTAATATAAAGGTATAGTTGTAATAAATTACTATTTTTCGTCTTAAATTTCTAAAACGGTACTTATTTGGGGACAATCTGTTTTTCTTTTCTTAAAGCAACATTTATTTTGAAATGAAGAAGGTAATTTACATTGAAACAAATTAAAAACGTACTCCCTCCATTCATTTTTACTTGTCATTATTTGACTTGACACATCAATTAAGAAAATAATTATTGATATATGTATTTTACAATACTATCTCTATTAAATGATGTTAACTACTCTATTAGGTTTTGAAAAAAAAAACTGGGGGATAGAGTAATATTTAGTGGTAAGGATATATAAAATATGGGAATTTTTTTTTTTTTTTTTATTTGTCAAAAAAATAAAAATCTACTTTAGAAATATGTAACAAGTAAAAATAAATGGGAGAAATAGTTTATTCTAACCTCCCTATATCAAAGTCAAACAGCACATGTCCATCGACGTAATTTCATGAAATCTATGAGCCCAACTGTAAGTGGAATAAAAATATTCCTTAATAGCATACTATCATTTATGAAAGCTCTGAAATCTATAACAAAATTGAGGTTTTAGGAGACAGTGGTAACAAGATTTTATTTTTTTGAAAAAAAATGGTTAAGGTCAATAATAGAGTATAATATGCATGCTGCGTACAGGCTGTTACTTGCGTTGTTTGAGAAACGTACATCAATTTTATTTTATTTGCATCCATTTATCATGATGTTGAAATTAAAAACCAGTATAATTTAACCACCAAATTAGCCACAACGTACTATTATTTCACTGATATTTAGTATTTTGCATCAGTGCAAGTGTCAAGTAACTCATCCACGAGGACTTACGCAAATGAAAAGAAATCATTTACTAATTTATTACTATCTTTATTAAAATTTGAACTATAATTTCTCATGATTATTGCTCCACTTAATTGATAGTGTTAGGTCATACGGTAGGGTATAACTGGAGCGATTTATTTGTGTTCCTCTACGGAGCGGAGGAAATAATTAGAAATCGTGGAACTATCAAAGAGGAAATAATTAGAAATTCTGAATCCACTCCTATATGAAATATGAAAGAAGAAATAATTGACCATAAGCTAGTCAAAGTTGAAAAAGAAAAGAAAAATATAAAAGAAACCAGTATGATTGCTGCATAAAGTCAGCACCTATAGGTAAATGAAAGACAACAGTACTAATTTTCTATTATATGTTTAAAAAAAAATTAACCTCCCACAATAATTAAATCATGTCTTTCAACAACTCAAAAGGGGGTAACAAGAAAGAAAAATCTAAAAAGAAGGCCAGATACTTGCCACCTTTCACTATCAAAGTTGAATATTCTCATCTCCATCTCCATCTCCATCTCCATCTTCTTTGTAAACTGGTTTACGCATCAGAGGCAAAGAAATAAATGTTAGAGTTGTGTGCACTGACAGTATATTAAATATTTATATCATAAGATACCGTATTTATATATTAACTACTATGATAGTAATTTGATTAATAGAGTAATAAAACAGTATGACTGGTAATAAAAGAGTAAGTTTTGTGTGTATTTTATTATATTTAGGTTTCACTTACGAGATTACATTGAATATATCGTTGTTTAAATTGCAACGGCGGTGCAATAATCCTTTTATATGGGATATAAGTACTTAAGGGGTTGTTTGGTTGGAGCCTGGGTTAACTATTTCGGGATAAATTATTCCAATATGTCTATGGGTAACTTATCCTGAAGCAAAAATGGTGGAATAAATAATTCAAGGATTACCTAATACCTCCAATCAAACGTGGGATAAAATAATCATACATACATTTTATCCTGAAATTATTATACTTTATACCTCACACCAGAGAACTCTTTTTCAAGTATATTGCTTGTACGAAAAAAACTATATGTCTTGCTTAACAAAGAAAGTGAATTACTCAAAGAGAGGAAAGAGTGCAAGCCACATAATCCTTTTTTTTTCTTTGCAATAAAAGAAAAGAGAGCTAGTGCCAAACCTCTTATAATTGAGAAGAGTCACTAGAGGTCAAGCAACCTAAAAATTGAATGACTTTGTTTACCTCCGGCAAATTGCTTAGGTAAGAACTAATATAAAAAAAAAAAAAAAAAGTTCAACCAGTTGAATATAAGGAAAGGACCTACAATATTCCAATGTTAATGTTGCCACATAGGTTATAGGTTTTTAAAGCATGTTTTAGTGTTTGACAATCTATTAAGAGATGCATAAATTGTATAATTACTGACACAATCATAGTGGACGAGTTAAATATTTTACACTATCACTAAAAGATCTAATACACAGTGTAACCTTCTAACAAGCCTGATTTTGTAACCTGCAAATTATAATACTACTAATTAAGTACATAGTATAACTGGGAAAACTACCCTAATCATTAATTATGCAAGTATTAGTTTAAGTAAAGATAATTAGTAATAAAGAGATTATCAAGGATTAATACTTTTTGAACTCATATGTAAAATATGAAAGAGACAAGGAGGAAAAGCATTGAAAGGTACTTACCAAGATTAAAAATATTTGTTAAAAGAAAAAATCTTCAACTGACTTGTTACATTAACATGAAGGACCAATGCTCCTTTCCTCTTCACTGTTGGCTCTCTGTTGCTGCTGTGGTGTCTGTGGTTGTTGCGGTAGCTGTTGTTGTTGCTGAAGCAATTGATGTGGCTGAACCTGAACCTGAACCTGGCCGCGATGCTGCTCCTGCTGGGCTTGTTGAATCTGATAAGGATCATTATCAAATGAGGCTAATGCCAATGAAGGAGATACTGATGAACTCATTTGATGAAATCCTGTTGCAGTTACTGGCCCTGTAGACAAAAACGGATTCAAGATTTAGAATTAAAAAATTCCTCAAAATATATAAGACTTCAAAACACATATAATTAATAGATGTGTTTTTGTGTGAAGTAAAAAATGTCAGTTTTCTAAATGGAAGTCATTTTCTTTAAACTGTTTTAATTTTTTTATAATCCTAATGTACGGACCATCTTTTCCATCTCTACTAATTCCATGGAATATCTATTACTAGCATTTAGCTCCCACCAGCAACTTATATCAGGTTACTCTATTATTATAACTATTCATTAGTATTCAAAATTTCATCAAAACACTTGGAAAAATATGTATATAAATAACTTTTGTTGTACCAAAATAAACTCAATATTTAAACTAAATAACGGAGTTTTCATCTGTTACAGTACCTGCAGAATCATATCCATTGTTGAATTGTTGTGGCTCATAAGTTCTCATCATCTCCTGTTCCCTTGCAGCCATTACCGCGGCTAATTGATGAGCTTCAATCACTTGCTGCTGATTCTGTTGTTGTTGTTGTTGTTGAGGATCGCGCATCATTAATTGTTGTTGCAATCCCATTGGCTGCATATTATAAGCCATCATATTAGAAGAAGAGGGATTATTATTGGGATGCTGTTGAATATAGCCAGAGTGCTGAAGCATTGGCAACATTGCTTGTGGACCAATATACGTTGCTAAATCTTTCTTAGCATTCAATAAATCATCTTGAACTTGCTTAAGCTTATGTTGAAGTATTGAAATTAGTCCAACACAACCATAAACCGGATCACGGAGGCGATATTCCGCTTCATATGCTAGGGAATTT